TTAAGATTAAAGAAAATAGTAATATTTATAGTAAGAAAAATATTAATAAATACAAAACTATTTATTCCGGAGTTAGTAAAAAAGGAAATATTAACTAAATATCTATTATAAGATAAGCTATAGGATATAGTCAAGTATTAATTCTCTTATTAACTAGTTCAGGTTAATTTCTATAAAATTAATTTCAAGTTTGCCTAAAAAGAAATCTTTTCCTAAATATTCTCGTTTCCTAATATATTATTTATATTAATCTCTATAAGCTTATTATTCTCTTTTAGTTCCTTAATATTAGTAATATATTTTAGTATTAGATAGTTATAGGCCATATAACTAGTCTAAGAGTAATTAAAGTAGGTTAAAGTTAAAACGGGAATACTTTCTCTTTTAATAACTAGCTTACTAATAATTAGAAGTATTTGAATTAGTATAAAGATATAAAGAGTTATTATATAGAGCTTAAGAATAGCAAATATAGAAGTATTAGGAATAGTAGAGATTAGAAAAATAATAGTAGCTCGAGCCTTAATATATTTTCTAAGGCTTTTATAAGTCTATAATATATTTATCTCGGAATTAACTAATAAGGCTATATAATATAGGTTATAAAGTATATAAATAGAATAGTACTAGCTTATAAGTTATTCTTAAAGAGGAAGTATTAGCTTATTATATAGCTTATTAAAATAGTTCTATAAATAGATTTAAGCTTTATTTACTAAATAGATAAACTTAGTCTTAAACTTATAGAAGATTTAAACCTCGTTTATTTATAGCTTCTTATATTTATATCTAGCTTTATATATATAGTAAGGGTTAATAAAGTATTTACTAAGGTAATTAATTATCTTTATAGCTATCTCGAAAGAATTAGTAGTATTAGGCTTATATTAAATATATAAGTAGTATTAGGTATTATCTTTTATATAATTAAAAATATAGTATATACGGGTATTCTTATTTATATAATAGTTTATATTAACTTTGAATTTACTAATAATCTAGACTTACTAATAGTTATAGATTAGGTTTTTGCTATTACTAAGCTTTAAAGGATCCGAAACCTTTATAGAACAGAACTTGCTATATTTAGGAACTTCCCTGGCCGGATATACTTATTTAATAAGAGAAACTAGGAAGTTAGGTACCGTATTATAGTACTTAGATTAGGAGCAGATATTACCCGGAATATAACCTCTACTAATAGAATATCTTCGGAAAAGCCCCTCTATATTAAGCAAGCAAGCTAAACTAGTAGCCAAGCTATTTAGGGTTATATAGTCGGTCTAGGCATCTATCTAGATCTTGACTTGGGCTTATTATAATACGAGTATATTAGAATAAATATCGGATAGAATAGGTAATTCTCTTAGGGCAGAAGGTCCTATTCCAGAGGCATTCTTAGTACTAGATATAAGAGATAGGATTATAGAATATGAGTAAAGATCCTTAGAAGAGCTATTAGTATAAGAGGCTATATTAAAGGTATTAGGTATATATAATTCATATATAGAGAGTTATTCTTTAGAAGTAAATAATCGTCTCAGGAGAGATATTCTAGAGCCTTCCCAGATAGAAAGAAAGAGCTTAGTTTAATATTATAGACCTATAAAGAGAGCCTACGGATAAGGCACTTATAGGAGAACTATTTATCGAGAAAACTAAGCTAAGGAGGAAAGAAAGTCTCGAGCTGAGGTCCCTTAAGTATTTATAGTTCTTTGCTTATAGCTCGGCCTAATGGGGCTTAGCGTCCTAAATTTCCTGGAATGCAGCTTTCCCTAGCTTCGTCACGTGCAACTGTCATGTGACCCCAGATACCAGATGCTCAGATGCCAAATACCAGATGCCAGGCTTAGATAGAATATAGAATTATAATAATAACTAGTTAAAAGTAAGTAGCCTTAATAATTTCTTCTCTCAATTTAATAATAATTAGTAAAATAAGGATTTTAATTACTTTTTAAATCGAGGTTTTTTAATATTTATAAATTTTTTTAAATAGTCGGGTCGGTGCTTAGGCTCTGGAGAGTAAATTCGAGAATCTCAGGGAAAAAAATTCCTTAATAGCGGATTAGTATATATGGAAAAATCGGCACGAATGCGATGATGATAATACCTACGGCCCCGAGTAGTCTAGAGACACGTACTAGATGTGGTGTTGTCGCAGAGGTAGACGTCGAGCCCTTATTTCCTGATCCGGCGCGGCTCGTGGAAGGCTCACCGCCGGCCGCATCGAGGTTTATCTTTCAGCGCTAGTCCGTATTTGGGTTTCCCTTTTAGCGCCTTCCCGTCTTTAGTTTTACCCTGCTTAAGTCGACGGTTGCATCCATCATGGCTAGTCGTGAGCAAGACGTCTCCCCCAAGGCCACTGCAAAGGCTAAGAATCGGGGTGGCCGGCCGAGGAAATATGCCACTGCCCTAGAAGCCCAGGCGCAGGAAGTCGAGAGGCAGAAGCAGAAGCGCCATCAACAGCAGCAACCACGGGACTCGAAAGCTGGGTACGCAACAACAGAAGCACTCCAATTCATACCATACCAACCTCCGTCAACAAAGCCGAACAGCAATTTGCCCACCCAGACCGTCAGACACGACCAGAAGCCGCAAGCGTCCTCAGCAAAGACTCCCCCTCTCTCCCTTCCTCTTCAGTAACAGATAATACAAGACGTCGAATCCACTACTCGACATGGCAGCCCAACCTTGGCAGATCGCGACCCTATTACGGGGATGGTTCTCAGAGCACAAACATCCTCTATATATCCTCCTAGGAATGAGAGCCCTTTACCTCCGGCTGATACCATCGAGGTGGCGGGAATCTTGAGCAGTATGCCATTTTATATCCCCGCTTAGATCGAATAAGCCCTGGGGTATTATAAGCTCCCATAACTCCATATGCCCTCCAGCTAATGCAATTTTTACGCCCTACAGCTCTCGGTATTGATTCGACCCTACCTTTGCGCACTGGTAATGGAGGCTTGGAGCAGATAGAGGTTGCGACGTCAAGGCTGGGGTTGAGACCGGGATCGGTATTATCAGGTAGCTGTGGCCGAGCTACTGTACCGGTGCTGTCATCTAGCATCTGTAATATCTTCGAGGATGATCTATGATAGAGTGATAATATAGATGAACTCGAGCAGTCACCTATCCCGTCGGACGCCTTTGAATATAGCTTATGGGACTCGGAGGAACGTTATAGTTATGCCCTATATAAATCTGAGGGTGGCATAATTTCGATTGGGGATACCAATTTAGGATTACTACCTGTCCAACCTTCTCTCTCTCTAATACCCGAAGTCGAGGAAGATGTGATTATTGAATATGGCCTCCCGAGACTTAGTCCCAATAAATCTTCTTCTATAGATATCCACTCTAGTTCCAATAGAGAGGAGATAGAGAAAAGTATAATACCAGTGGAATATACTATAAGACAGCCCAGTATTATAGCTGGTAGTAATATTGCGCTCCAGCTTGCAATCCAGCTCTATACTTTCTAGGGTTATACTTACAAGTAGTATAAAGAGCAAGATCGTTAATACTGCAAGTACTACTAGTAACCAGATATAGACCTATATTATACTTTACTAGCTAATATTATCTCTATTATTTAAGGCTGGGGTATAGATTATATAATACCGCCTTTGCCTAATGTTTTAAGCTAGCCAGAAATTATAAAGGCAGAAGAGTTTTAGAGGAAGAGCTATACTAGTGCCTTTAAAGGGATAATACTATTAATTTCAAGCTTTCTTAATAGAAAGAATAATTTCTATACTGCCTGCCAAGTATTAAAGAATCTCTACCTCTCTATATATTATAATAAGAACAGGCTTATATCTAGCTCAGAGATTACTTATAATATTAATAGTATTTATAGAATTATAGGTAGCCTTATAGTTATATAACTTAGAATCTAGTAGCTTCTAAAATCTTTTTCCTTCTTTAATATTAATAAGAATATCTATTTTATTCTCTATATTTCTTATATTATTTCCTAGAGCTATAGCTTATTATAGGCATTACTTCTGGTATATCGTCCCTCGAGTACTGGTTTCCTCTAGATACGGCTTTTGATCTCTGCCTCCTCTAACTCTGGATTCCTCCTGGCGGAGAAGCTACTAATATCTCATATATAAACTTGGGCATATTACTAGTTCTCTTCTTCTCCTCGTTTTTAAGGTTCTATAAAGTAATTGCGTTCTCTACTTCCTATCTCCCAAGTTATCTTTTCGAATCTTTGAATAGTACTATCTGAATCCATTTCGTCTATTTCTGGATTACTATAATAGCCTCTATAGCGGGAATTTGGACCTATTCTATATGCCGCCTGGAATAAGCTTTACAAATCACCGTTATATTCCAATGCTTTAGTTCTGCTAAATATAGGCCTTTAATATAATTAATATACGGGATCTTCTTAGTAAGCCCAAGAGGATATAGAACTTTAGGCGCCCTATTATATTAGATCCTCTATTATACTAAGCGAACTTCAATACTTCGTATAATATATCCTATTTTAATAAAGCCTTTATTACTCTTGACCTTATATATATAAATATAGCCATCTATTAACTCCGAACTTTTTAAAGGCTCTGTAATCTTATTTCGAATAAATGAATAGTATACTAAGTTATTTAAGGGTCTATTCTTCTCTATTTTAGTAACGAAAGCGCTCTTATTATTGGCGTTATCCCAGAACTTTGCTAGATTACCCTTAAGCTTATATAAAAACTCTATATTATATATCGAGTTAAGTAATTAATTCTATATAGGATAAGCTTTATAAATTATAGTAATTCGCTGCTTCTATTATATGGTCAGGTCGGAGATCTGTTTTATATATTAATAATAGATTATATTAGAGGCAAGAATCTTCAAGAGAAACCTGAGTTTATTATTATATGAGTAGTTATCTGGCTCAGTAATTAGAGTAATTATCCTTTTGCCTTTAAGTACCCTTTTGCCACTAATCGGAATTAAATAAGATATATAGTCGCGGTTATGCCTCGCACCTATACAAGTATATCTGGAGGTATTCGGCAAGAAGTAATCTAGTATACTTTTAATTTGATCTGTAATTAATTCGAGTAGGACTGCCCTCTCGTCTCTAATTAGAAAAACCTTCTTCCAGAGCTTGATTCGAGTAGCTTTCTTTTCGGTTATAATATGGTGCTTGCAGAGAGCTAGCTCTGCAAGTATCTCAAGCTCATAAGGAAGCTCTACGGACGCTTGAGTTAGCGCCGTTATAGACTCAATCTGACTGTCGATATCGCCAGGATTTGGATTTTTGCATGGAGGGTTTCCTCGTTTCGTTATAGGCGACCCGCATTTTCCAGTGTCAAGGTCCAACTCATTTTTCAGATCCTCGAGGCCCATCGGAGCTGCGATAGCAGTAGCCTTAACGGCCGAAACGGATCCATTCTTCGAGGGGGACGTTGGAGGGGTAATTAGAGGGGTCGCTGGAGGGTGTGCCGGAGGAGTAACCGGTACATAAATACGAGATCTTGTTGGAGAGCGTTCATTCTGGCGCGCCAGGTCACTGTCGATCCCCAGGCTCACTGGGGGAGGCGTATTTGCGGGGCTAGGATAAGATGATGGCATGTTTGATGTTCCACGTAGGCTGGTGGTTGAAGTGTGGGAATGAGAGCAATTATTTTGAGCCTGCTAAGAACAATCGGATGGACAGTTAGATGATACGATTGATGCTAAGAACGAGAGAGAGGCAGAAGGCAGGCAACTGCGCTACAACCACTTTCAAAATTGGCTTCCCATTTACGATCGCTATCAGCCCCACCAAAGCAGAAGAGCCTGGCGTAGCATCATATGACATGTTGACAGCACAAAACCGACCCCACGAACTTATGGGGAAAATCTGTACTCAATCCTTTAATCGTTAGCTGGCCAATAAATATAACAATACTATACCAAAATGAACCTCGTCGACCAGGAGAACGCGGGGCTCATCATATGCCAATGGATTGGCGATGGATAGATTGTCGCAGTGACCTCCTTGCGATTGATAGGTCTTACGCGCTTATCGTCATGCATAACAACAGAATTGCCGCGAGGCTGCAGCTCAACCAACTGCGTCAGCCCCAATCTGATGTATCCTTCCAACTCATCCATAGCTTCATTTGTATGACGACTCTGCAGCATAGCATTTGCTGAGAACCATACTTCTACGCCTCTTGAATCCGGCTGAAACCATGCGGCTGCTGAAGTACGATACTGATGGCGATTTCAGCCTCGCCGAGTTCTTTAACGATACACCTAAGTATGCTATACTTTCACATACTTGGGGAGAAGAGGAGGTCACCTTTAAAAACCTTGCAGACGGAACTGGCAAGAATAAGACTGGTTACGACAAGATTCGATTCTGCGCACAGCAGGCTGCCGAGAATAGCTTGCAGTACTTCTGGGTGGACACCTGCTGTATCGATAAGTCGAGCAGCACTGAGCTGCAGGAGGCTATCAACTCGATGTTCCGCTGGTATCGTGATGCTGTCAAATGTTACGTCTATCTATCAGATGTATCGTTGCCTCCATCCGACGACGCGGCTGTTGACTTTACTAAGGCTTGGGAACTGCAGTTCCGGGAAAGTCGATGGTTCACTCGAGGCTGGACCCTGCAGGAGCTTATTGCGCCGGCATCAGTCGAATTTTATTCGAAGGAGGGGAAACTACTGGGCGATAAGGTATCCTTGGAGCAAATTATCTGCCAGATAACGGGTATTCCCATTAAAGCTTTTCAAGGAAGCCCTTTATCTGATTTCGGCATCCCAGAACGAATGGCATGGGCAAAAATTCGTCAAACCACACGTGAGGAGGATAGTGTCTACTCGTTGCTTGGTATTTTCGGCGTGCATATGCCACTGATCTACGGCGAAAGAAGAGAGTATGGTCTTAGGCGTCTCTACGAGGAGATCAAGAAATCATCGAATGGTACGTTTAAAACTTGATATGGTCTTTAGGCCTCAAAGTAAATACTGAACGGTAAACAAGGACTTACAATTCGTCAAGCTACTGAGCAGCGCCTTACTTCACCGACTTACAGCTTTGATTGCAACCAATGCAACCAATCCTTTGCCAGCCAAAGCGCCCTTACGCAGCATCTTCTCAACTCATCATCTCATAGCTTAGGTTGCGATAAGTGCAACCGGTCATTTGGCAGCCAGAGTGCGCTTGAACAGCATCGTAGCTCATCAGCCCATGGCTTGGTTTGTAATAAGTGCAACCGGTCTTTTAGCAACCAGAGCGCCCTCACGCAGCATCACAACTCATCGGCCCATGGCTTGAGTTGCAATAAATGCAACCGGTCTTTTAGTAACCAGAGCGCTCTTGCGCAACATGTCAACTCATTGGCCCATGGCTTGGGTTGCAATAAGTGCAACCGGTCTTTTAGTAACCAGAGCGCCCTTGAGCAACATCTCAACTCATCGGCCCATGGCTTGGGTTGCAATAAGTGCAACCGGTCTTTTAGCAACCAGAGCGCCCTTGAGCAACATCTCAACTCATCGGCCCATGGCTTGGGTTGCAATAAATGCAACCGGTCTTTCAAAAGCCAGAGCGCCCTTGAGCAGCATCTCAGCTCGCCAGCTCACAACTTGGATTGAGATAAGTGCGATTAGTTATTTGGCAGCCAGAGCGCTCTCGCGCCGCATCTCATCTCACCGGCTCACGGCTTTGTTGAGTGTCGCCGCTCTTTTGGGCGCTAGAGGTAGTCGGTGTTGGGTTGTCTGCGAAGTCAGCTTACATTCGAATTGACAAGTATAAAATCATGAACCAATGGTTAAATAGCATATTTGGAGGTAGCGACTGTGCTCGACAAAGGGGTACGAGAGAATGAAAGAGGATAGAAGTAGCGTTTCAGTAAACCACTATTAAGAATAACTCAGCAAAAGAATATGTGGAACACAAGACTGCAATAGAGAAGAGGATGCTTGCTGTCATTTCCAACGAGAATGATGGCGCAGTTCAGAAGTTGCAGATTGATAAAGCTGCTTGGGTTCATTCGTTGGAGATTGGAGTACTTCTAATGAATGGAATTTCCCTTAGTCGAGATTTAACTCCACCCGCGACGTGGACGTGATACTGGAGCATTCTCAATCAAGATCATCATCAAACAAGACGTATTTTCAATACAAACTAACCGTACTGAACACATTCAAATGATTTAAGCTCAGCCTGCTTGGTGACTGACGTATGCCCTGTTGTTATCGATGCTGACGACGACAATGCTATGATATTCGCAGTGCAACTTGGTCCCCTAGCGTTCGCAAGGGCATCGTGATCAGCCATTTCATGGTCACATGATAGAATGTAGCTCCACCCGGTAGGTGGGATTCGGAGTCTTCCACCGAGTTCAGAGGGGAAAGCCGATTTTGCAAGCGACTGTACGAGCTAGATGACGGGACGGCGCCTACAGGTAGCGGTTGCAGCCACCTGTGATTTGCTGGCGATGTGAGGCACGAAGTTTGCACTGCCCGTGCATTGGCATAGTGCTTCGCTTATTTCGATAAGGAGCTTGTGGGGAAGCCGATTTTGTAAGCTCTACTATCCCCCCCCCCCCCCCCCCTAAACACTTATTGTGGGCCCTTAGGTAACGCCACCCTGAGACCTCGTTTATATCCCTAAACTAGGAAATATCAGGTGCCTCCGAGAGTCTCTATTGGCTATAGGCCCTTGAGTTGGCCAGTGCAGATGTGGTGTTACTTAGGGGCCCACAATAAATGTTTAGGGGGGGGGATAGTATTATTCAGTTGTGGCGACATGGTTGCTGACAAGAAAGTGCTGACTACGAAGATCACGGCATAAAGTGACGGGACTACAGGGCATTTGAACTACAAGTCCACTTTCAGGCCACTTTCTGCTGGATTCAACCACTAAAGCCCCCTATATTTCCAGGCCACTGCCCTGAACGAACGCTATAAACCGCAAGCAAGGGGTACCACACCTTTTTAAGGCATATCCCTGTACTTACAGGGGAAGGTTCGCTAAGGTACCCTATAATTACCACCCTCACAGCGTCCGAGCGCTATGGTTGCTCTGCCAGCAGCGCTATCCCTTCGTCCGCTGAGACATTGCCACATTAGCGGCCGCACATGAATATCTCTAATTCGGCCAAAACATAATCCAAATTAGGGATATTCATGTGCGGCCGCTAATGTGGCAATGTCTCAGCGGACGAAGGGATAACCCTTGAGCATCTTCCAACAACCCTGCAAATGTCTTACACTCTACTTCAGGGCACGAGGCCTGGAGTTATAAGGCCTTATAGCGGGCTTAACCCCTCAATTTGCACGCTGTAGTCCACTGAGCGCCCCAAACGAGTCTAAATGCCCTGTAGTCCCGTCACTTTATGCCGTGATCTTCGTACAGAGATGGAAAGAGTGACTAAGTAGAATGGTGGGGTAAATTAAGAAGTTGCCAATTCTGCCTTTTGCAGAGGTAACTCCGGGTACAGCCGAGCAGGGGTGCACAGCCACAATTGTCCAGAAGTGGAGCTCGCTAAAAATATTCAACTAGAAAATTAGCGACACCCCTTTCGCCTTCTACTGTATCGAAAATGTGAAAAAGAAGACATCATTTAATGAACTTCCAAGATTGGCTCCTGTCCGGCCCGCATAACCCCTGCTAATGGCCAGTGAAATCAGTGAGACTGCCAGAAGTGGCTATTTTGTACTTTATAAAGACTGAAGGGCGCAAAAATAAACTCCTATTGAAGCTGCAATCCCCTTTTTCAAATTTAAGCAAGGAAATGGTTACGTGAGCGGTAACGGATCTGCACTACCATAGAAGACGCACGATACCAGGGCTGAATTATCTACGGAGGGAGCAGTGTGTCAAAGAATTAATCACATTAATCAGATTAATCAGATTAATCATGATTAGATTAGATTAGAATATGATTAACGTAATTCAGATTTTTTTTGATTAGATTAGAATAATTAATCAGATTAATCTGTCACGTGACTAATAATTATTAAATAACTAAGGTATCTATTAAGTAGCCCCAGTTAAACTAAGCTAGGGCTTATATAATAGTAGCTAAATACTAACTTTTAATAATAATAAACTAGTTATTCTCTTCGGAATCTCTATATTCCCCCTTTTATTATTTGGCTTCGGCTCGCTTACTAAGTATTACTGCCCCAAATTAGTATAGTACTAGAGCCAGAGCGGGCGGGAGCGTTACCAGATTCGGCTAGTGCTATCACGTGTTAGGGTCACGTGAAGACTAATTAGATTAATTAGATTAATTATGATTAATCTAATTAATACTTGAATTAAATATAATTAATGAGTTTTTTTTATAAATAGATTAGATTAATAGCTATTAATTTAATCTAATCTAATTATTTAATATATTATATATAGATAAGATATTAGGGCTGAATTATTTACTATTCCCTTATAATCCCTCCGATTATATATTAGAAAATTTGAATATTTATAAAAGCTATAATTAGAAGCCTAGATATAAAAATAATACCTAATATTTATTAGCTTTTCCGTTTCTTTATTAATAATTATAATACCTTAAATCTTTAGTTTTTATTTTCTGCCTCTATTAACTTCCCTAGCTTATTTGTAATATAGATTAGATTCTAGATATCCTAATTAATAGAATAGATTATATTTTACTTAAAATAAGAAGTACCTGAGTCTTAATATAATTATAAAATAGATAAAGAAAATAGATACTAATATAAATTAGAGATTTCGAATATTATACTTATATAGTCTAATTAATTTAATATTTTTAGTAACTAGCTACTAGATTAAGAAAGCAATATATAAAGATATTTTTATATAATTTTTAAAGAAGTAAAGAATTATAAATAATAGTAAAATTTGTAAATATAAAAAGATATAGAATATAAGTAAACGAAAATTATTACCTATATAATAATTAGATTACTAATTATAATAAATATATATAATGGCATATAAATAAGTATTAAATATTCTAAATCTAGTTTTCTATTTTAGATAATACTTATATTAGAATTATATAAGATTGTATTTCCTAATTAAATAAAGGCCTTTATATACTTGACTAAGTATTAGGAGATATATAAAGAGGCGCTTCTAGCTTTAGAAAGGGGCATTAATTAGTCTTTTATTAGAATTAATTCTTGGAAATTAATTATACTTATAAGTATTACTCTAAAGCTTACTTATTTTAACTACTTATATATTATTCTATTATTATATATATTATATTCTAATTAATTCAACTTTTAGAAAGCTGTTTATTATAAGATAATTAAGCTATTAATAGATAAAATTACTAATAATTAAAGTATTAATTAAAAGAAGCACCTCTATTATTACTAGAGTAATTTAGTCGAATATTTAAAAAAGTATCTAGTTAGGCATTCTAGCTATTACCTAATTAGAAAAAGAAAATAGAACTCAGATATTTCCAGAACTAGCTAGTAAAATAATAATAATAGAAAAGCTAGTAATAGCTTATTATTACATTACTAAATTAGAAGCGGAAATATAATAGAGAAAGAATCCAAAGAAGCTAAAAGCTCAGATTTATTATCTTAAAAATATTCGGGCACTTATTATAAAATCTATTATACTACTGGTAGTATATTTGATTTATAGGGCTTTAAAAATCCGAGAATTGCTAACTTATAAAGAGAAAAGTATTAAGAAAGCCCAGAACTTCTTTTACTAAATAGAGCTAAAGTAGTATTAGGATAGTAGAATTATTTGGGTTACAAATATAGTAAAAGTTATATATTATATTTCTTGCTTTAAAAATATAGCCAGAAATATCTGGAAGTATAAAAAGTAATTAGTAAATATTAATATTATAGATTAAAAAACCTTTATTAAGTTTATAAAGAATTTTATTTTGGATCTAAAAAACTATAATAATAATACTTTTATTAAATTTAAGAATATAAAATAATAGCTAGATTAGAGTATTTAAAGCTTTATATTCTATTTAAATAGTTTATTAAATAACTTGAAATATATGGGTTTATTATAAAAGCAAAATAAGTTATTTAATAGCTTAAGGTAAAAGATTCGAAATAAGATTAATTATTAAGGAAATATTTTATAAGAAAAAAAGATACTTATTTCTATAGCTATAAGAATTAAAAATAACTTGAATTTATTTATTTAATAAAAATATAATAATAAGCTAATAGAATAATAAAAGAAAGAAAATTAGAGAAAAAAGAAAAGAAATAATAGAAATATAATAATAGAGTTTAATATAGTACTTATATTAAAATCTATAAAACCGGATATAATTTGCTTTATTTATTAAAAGAAGAATTACTATATTATTATTTACTTAAATCGGAAATAACTGATTTATTATAATTATAATAAGTCTGGCTATAAAGTATATAAGTATCTAGAACTAAAGAAGTTAGAAAACAGATATATTTTATAATAGTTATACTTATTTATATTATAGAGAATAAAGCTTCTAAAATAAGAATAGTAATTGAGATTATTATTAAAACAAAAAAGAGAAATATAGAATTAAAGTATTAATTAATTCGAATATAAAAGCTAATTATATAAAGAGAAAGCTAGCTTTAAATATAGATATTTTATTAATATTAAAAGTAATTCTTTTTAATTTTACTAGAAAAAAGAAGAATTTATTTATATAGAGATTATATTTTAGAATTATTATAGAGAATATACTAGAGAACTAAAGAGAGGCTAATATATATTTTATATTATATAATTTTAATTTGAACTATATTAATATAATATTTGAATTCTTATAGTTTTACTAAATTAATTCCCTAATTTTCTTTAGAGAAATAATATAGAAATATTAGATTCAATTATAAAAGATTAAAGTTCTAAATACTAAAAAGTTTATTAAAACAATAAAATATAAAATATATATTTTTCTATTAATTATTTATTCTATAATATATAG